TGTAACAAGCCTGGTTAGCACAGGTGCTAGAAATAAGCAAGTTAAAGGAAGGTCAGTTCTCAACATCTTGACTACTAGTGATTATTCCCTAATTCAGACTTTCAGCAGTGCCCTGATACCAGATACTATTCCACCAGCTTAAGGCAGACCATCTTCTCTAGCTTCACTTGTCTCATTCAAGAATCTGGATATCATATGAAACCCTCCCGTGGCTGTTAGCACTGCCAACTTTTCCTTCTTTATCTAAACCTAAGGGAAGATCCCCTATGAGCAGCTACCAGAATAAACCCCAGTAAAACTTCAGTACCTCCCTGTGTGCCCAGCACATCCTGCGTTTACCTCAGCCAGTCCAGCAGCCAAGCCCGGCTCCCTTTATCCAGTGCTTTTGTTCTCCTTTCCTCTTGCTGGAAGTAGTTACAAAGTCTGGGCAGTGGCTTCTGTAACCGGACTGCTGTCTCATGATTCAAAACCTAAATTTTATCAAATAAAGTCAGATTCTGAAGCTTGGCTGTGCAGATTAACAAATGCCCTTGTTTCCTGAGAACTTGCTAACTGCTTCCAGAGCGAGTACATCTAACAGGGGTGCAAGCCCCTTGCTGAAGTGGGTCCCGCTTGGCAGATTTTCTTTGCATTTATGCAGATTTTGTGCGAGAAGTGTAAATTGCTGCAGGATGCGCAGTTTAACCTACAGCATCTGTCATGGTTTGGTGAGGCATGACCCAAAATACTCCTACCTGTTTTAGACTCTTTAATATATCCTTGTTTAGGTTCTTTTTACTGCTTTTTGGTCACCTGCTTGGAAGCTTTCTCCCTAAATAAATCTGTTGCTTTCAGGGAGTGTTCTACTACCTTCGCAGCTATAAAATAGTTATGTTACTCTGCATAGGATCTGTGCTTATGTTTCTCCCTCCTTGTGCTTTCTTCTTGGCAGTGTGGGGCTGAGCTGGGGATGGGACCATGCTGTGCAGAGGCCATATATGTTTTATATATTTATATGCATGGGGAAAACATAGTGGGCTGCTTCACCTGGCTATGCACACAGCAAGACAGTGACCTGCAAGTCCTGTGTGGAAGGCTGGGACTGGTTTTCTTTCACTCGTGTAATGCAGGCACTTTGCAGAAAGCAAATCCAGCATCATTAAAACTCCTTGTAACTGCCAGGTTCTGCTCTCTTATGTGAGTCAGAGACTTTAATTTGGGAGTATACAAAGTCACAGGTCTGCTGTTAAAAGCATTTAGTGATTTGTGAGTTGATGACAGATTTCCTTGAAGCTTTGCAGTTCAGATTTTGGCTTGTGGGGGGGAAAAAAAAAAAAGAAACTGCTTCAGCCTGCAGCTTGTAGCAGGCCTAGGCCTGGCTTCCGGGGAGCTGCTGTGTAGCAGCCTGGCTTGTTGTTTCCAACACACACATCCTCCTAGGCCTCGTCTCGACGGGTTTCAGGAGGCCCATCATGAGAGGGAGCCAGGCCAAGCTGCTGTAACACATAGCGCAAAAGCTGCTGGGTCATCTTCAACTTTGTGTCATATCGCCCTCAGTAACAATAAAATAATATCCTTGGTAAGTAAAAGTGCAAACCCGGGGTGAGATAGAACCTGGGAAAGTTGATGATGTGATTTGTAAGCATGACTCACTTCAAATATTTTTCCAACAGGTCACCCTGTTGGCTTGGCGTGGTTAATGATTTGCCAGCTTTTTACAGTTTAAGCCTGTTGGTACACCGTACTCCAAGAAACATCTATTAGCTGCGTCATGAACAAAGGCAAGAGTAGCTGTAAGTCATTCAGAAAATAATGTTTCTGCCAAATGTTTTTGCAAAGACCTAGAGACCATGTAACTTGAGAAGTGTATAGCATGCTTTAAAGCAAGATGTTATTTTTATACAAATTTTTCAACAGTATGTTTTTTTTTTCTAAATGGAATCAAAGGCAGTTCTGCTTTTATAATTTGAAATGTTTGAGAACTTTTTAAAAAGTAAAACCAATTTAGACAAATGTGTGATGCCTCATTTTTTTAGGTTTTTTTTTTTTTGTAGCAAAAAATGATTTGCATTTTGCCACAGCAGCCAACCAACTCCTGTAGTCAAGACTAAAAACCATGTAGCCCTATTTGTGGTTTTATACTGATGTTGACTTCTTTTTCCCCAAAGCTGCAGTCCTTTTTTTTTAATGGCTATGACCCTGCAGAGGAAGCAGCAATTACGTTAAAAGGCCTTTTGCCTTTTTTAACCTCCGCACACCATGAGTGCAGCTTGTCCCTTAGCCCCTGGGAGGAGGGTGCCCACCGAGTCCCCTTCGTGGGACATACTGAATCCCCCAGACACAGACCTGGGCAACCTGCTCCTGCTGCACGTGATGCCCCGTGGACCCTTCCAGCATCAGCCCTGTGCCCTGGTCCAGGTGAGGCACTGGGGAACATTTCCAGCATCTCTGCAGGACTGAACGATAGGGAGAGTGAAGCCATACACAGAAAAAGCTCGTTAGAAACATTACCTGCAATGAGCTTGTCCACCAGCCTTGGTGCATGTTCATGCTGTGGCTGACTGCCAAACAATTACTACTCGTGTAATAGATCTGAACCTTTCATCTAATTACTGCAAAACTGCTTTACCAAGTTCTTATTGTGATGATGGCTCATGCAATGAATCCAGTGCAGGGAGGGCACAATGTGGAGCATTAGGTAATGAGGCAGCAGGTAGCGGGGCTGGTGCCAGCTCTGAGCAAGGCAATGACAGAGCAGAACCTCCACCCTGAGCCCCTGGCCCTGAGAGGGCAGCGAGAAGCAAAGTGCTACAGCTTTGCCTGCTGGCTCTTCTTGGACATCTCCCTGGAGCAAGGGCCGTGGCTCCCCCGGCTGCTGCTGGAGCTGTGGAGCATTAGGTAATGAGGCAGCAGGTAGCGGGGCTGGTGCCAGCTCTGAGCAAGGCAATGACAGAGCAGAACCTCCACCCTGAGCCCCTGGCCCTGAGAGGGCAGCGAGAAGCAAAGTGCTACAGCTTTGCCTGCTGGCTCTTCTTGGACATCTCCCTGGAGCAAGGGCCGTGGCTCCCCCGGCTGCTGCTGGAGCAGCTGGGGCCTTGCTGCATCCCTGCTGCTGGCACTGGCTGCTCCAGCTGCGTCTGGGCTGCTGCAGCACTGGCTCCACAGCCCTCCTGCGCAGAAGCTGCAGCCCCCTGAGCTCAGCAGCACCGTCAACCCAAAGGTGAGTGAAGCAGGGCAGAACATGACACCAGCAGCAGTCACACTGCCCTCAGAGCTGCCTCGTAGGAACCAGCATCTACTCCAAATCACACGGCAGCTGGAGAGGAGCATCTCCCAACTGCTCATCCCCAGCCTGGAGCCAAGGCCTCATCTTCATTCTCCCCCCAGCCTGGACTGCAGCTCTAACCCAGAGCACTGCCCACAAGGGCACCCAGGGAGAGAGGCCAGAGCGAGCATGTTTGCTAAGCACTGGTGAGCGAGCCAGCTGAGCATGTTTTCTACAGTCTGTTAGCAGTCCCAGGATTGACTCCTCCATTGACTCCAGGGCCCCTGCTGATCTGCTTCAGATATTCTTAGGAAAAAGCATTGGAAGACTTGAGAGAAAATTAGCACAACTCCTCCCCTTCCATGTCCCTGAATTACCTCTAAGCAGATCACAGTGGGAAGCTTAAATTTCACTTACCTTAAAGCAATGACTAAAGAAATCAGTGATGGAGGGCCATGGCAAGTGCCCCAATGCCTTAGCTCACATCAGGCAAAAGAAGAAAAAAGAGAAAAATAGAAATTGATATGGCCTTTGATAATGTAGGAACTAATTCCAGCACACACTTTTTTTTTTTGTCCACATTGAGGCATTTTATTGAGGTATAAACTTTGCAAAAGATGAGGTAACAATCTGCATAGTATTTATGCAAAATAACTTCACAACTAGGTTTTTTATTTGGCATTAACTCCTGTTATGTGGAGAAAAACTGAGAGTTGAGGCTTTTTACATTCTCCCACTGCACAGATCCATTAATGCTTGTGGCAGGAAGGTGGAGGACGTACAGCAGCTGCAGCTAACGAAGCCAAAGTCATGGTTAAAGTATCTCACACAACCCTTACAGTTTCTTTTCACCAGTTTGTGTTAGAGAGCCCTGAAACAGAGGCGGCTACGCTCCTGAGTGGGCTTGTCTAATGCATGAAAGGAGGCACTAACCTTCTCGTAGCTGCAACAGCTGGAGTTTTGCTTTTAAGTAAGCTTTGTAAATTATTGGAATAAAAGGCCCCTAGCTGTCAAAGTCAGTTCTTTGAATTTGGCACTTGAATTTTAAATCGTCAAACTGATTAAGCCTAAAATACAGAAGTCTTAGTAAACATATGTTCTTGTGCTATAAAACCCCTCCTTAAATCTTATATGCAAATAAGCACATACTCTTATTTCCTTAATTTCATATTTCAAAATATAGGCCATGGGGAAAAGCTTGAAAACTAGTTTCATTTGAGTCATGTAGAACAGAGTTTCCTAAGAAAAGTTCAGTTACTAATGATGTGTAAAGACACTTTGCTGGTGAATGTTAATATTCTAATATCTAGTAGCAACTCCTGCAGACATGAAAGTCATGTCTGCAGACATGAGTCATGATACCATTAGAACTAAACTATAAAATGTACACAAGCAGGTATAGAAAATTAACCTGAAAAAACCCCATCAGTTGCCTGTCAAAAGTCATATTTCTAAACCAATTCAAAAAGATTCCCAAATACAAAATGAAAAAACAGCCTGAGGTAAAAGTTCAATGCAAATGGCATTTTTTTTCATTAAAAAAATAGCTGAATTGAAATTCTAGGAACTTATAAAGTTACTTACTGTCAATAAAAATTTCTACTAACAACTGTAGAGAGTACTTTAGCCAATATAAAAGTATATAGACATTGTACACAGATTCAAAGTTAAAAAAAGGCACAATAATTGTACTTGTATTTTACTTTTTAAAAAAATATATAGTTCTGACAATTAAATTTTTTCCCCATACACACAGTAAATTGCCTTTGGATTAGCTGCTACAGCTGTCTGTGGAAGAGCCAGCTACTTCTGCGTGCTGCTGGTTTTCAGCTGTGCTAGGACGTGCCATTTTACCCTGTTCATTTTCCTGAGTGAGTCGTTGGCTGTAAAACAAAATGTAGGCTTGAGCTTTGCATACTTCTTCAATAGTGCACATGTTGAGTTTGGAATCATTGCAGTGTACCCAGAATCCTAGAATGAAGTAACATAGCAAAGATAATAATCAGGACACAGACTTCAGGTACCTGTATTGTAATTAATAACTAACTAGCGTTCAGTCCCCGTTAAAAAAAGTTACATAGAACTATTACACTGTTTCAACAGATATGAGTTATAAAAGCCCAGCTTAGCTTCTTTAGATCTGCAAGGGAGTTTACAACCAGAATAATTTTTAAGTGGCCCATGCAAAGCTTGAGCCGCTGCTGGGTCTACATAACAGCGATGTCATTTCAGGCAGGCTCAGCCGCAAGGGACCCCTTGGGCTTTCAGAAAAAGGCTGCAAGGGGGTTATTCCGCTGGGAACACGAGCGGCCCTTCTCCCCGCTCGGGCCCGTTACCTCCTTCCGAGTTGAAGCAGTAGGCCGTGTAGTGGCCCGAGCCGAAGCCCTTGCCGTGGTGCATGACGACGGCCGACAGGTCGTAGATGAAGCAGCCGGGCAGGAGGGAGCGCGGCGACTCGCGGCAGCAGAAGGGCTCCATGTTCAGCCTCTGCTCGAACGTCACGTGCACGCCGATCTTCTCGCGGTGGTTGCGCCCCGACCACCTGCAGAGGCAAGCCAAATGAAAAATGTAGCTTTTTCCTGAAGGAAAATAAATCCAAAACACAGAGCTCTGAGCAACTAGACCAGTTATCCTTGCTAGCATCTTCATGTAAAATACATGCTTATTTTCATACATATTTTTTTTCCAGGCTTCCCCTGTCACTTCTTTACTTCAAGGCCTTTTAAAATATGTCCATGTGCTTGGTGAGCACAGTCTGGTATTTCCCACATACTGTATTTTAATTTTGTTTTCCTTCCCATTCAGGCCAGACATTTTTGCCAATGCCTTGACTAAGGTTTCAAAGACGTGCACTCTTCCCCTCCTTCCTCTCAGCTTACTGCATTCGTGTATTTGGTTGTACGAGAGTTAGCCAGACACGGCCTGAGCACCGTCTCGGCCTGTACCTCAGGGAATATGGTCCTTCCCTGGACCTGAGGATAACACGAGATTCATTTTTATGAACAGAGTTCACCGCAAACTTATCAGATTTGACTGAAAAAAGGCATAGTATAATTTTGATATTGAAATAGTAAGTAGTTGGTAGCTAAAAGGTCCGTTCCCTGCTTATGACATATCTTACTGATGTTTAATTAAATAAGGAAAATAAATTTCTAATTACTATTTCTCATCACACTCATAAGCTTAATGGAATTCTCAAAGACAGATGCTGAAAATCCCTGATGCCAAAGGATCAACGGAAAAGGACTAAGTTGCTCAGTTTGCAAGATTTACATTTGTTGTAGCGCTACTTACCTAAACCGTTTAAGGTGTAATCTGAGAACCTGAGGTAGTCGACACACCATAAGCTGCTTCTGAGCTTCTGTGAGTATAACTGGTTTAGAAGAAAACTTCCTGCGTTTTGCTGAGGCCAAACACACAGTTACGTACATACAAATCTAGATAACAGCATTTCCACGGGCCTAAACAGCTACTGAACGCACCTCCTTCAACAGCGACATGCTCTGGGATCCATTCTGTGAGGCTTATTTTATTGGATTTAAATAGAAAACAGCTCTGGTCTCTTACATTGATTGGTCACTAGCATTGATTTAGAAAGCTGAGGGGTGCTTCAGCTGAGAGCATCACAAACCCCATTAGCGTGTGATGAGTCTCAATTTAAGAGAAGTATCACATTTTAAAATATCCTTTCAGCAATTTCGTCTTTTAGGAAGAGAGAAATAGCTGTCAAAATGACCACACCAGGACATAGGGGGAAGCATTTGGGGTTTTTGTCCATTTGTTTTTAACATTATATGCTTTTTAATATTGGTAGTGTTTTCCTGCTATGCTTTTACTGTCCATTTAATTAACATTTTACACAGAGAACGTATGCCTGAGTACATACTGCCTTTACTCACTGTTGCACTGATCACACGCATATATCTTCCCTTCCAAAGCTTCAGTTTCTGTAAACTTGGACAGCATTTCTGTCAGCAAACAGGGATGTTGGGATGCCATCTCCTTGCCATTGCAGTGATATCTCTCAGGAAACTCCAGTGACAGGTCCCAGAATGGTTCTATAGTATTTGATTTATTGTCACAGGCAAGGCATGTAACCTGAAAAAGAATTACTTCACAAGTTTCTCACATTCAGAAAAACTTACTTTGCTAAACGTGTACTGTAACAACATAGCTCGAACAAAAAAAAAAAAAGTGTGTTTTTTTTTTTCCTCCTCTCTCAGGGATCACTGATGCAAAAGAAACTAATCTAACTGAAATGATGCACTTAATTTACTTCCTCTGAAGCAGCACATCCAATACCATTATCACAAACGGGTAAGAATTCTTATGGTTTACTGAGAAACCTAAGCAGTGTCAAAATGGTCTGCCTGGGACTGTCCAAGGGAAAGCAGGTGGAGTCACACGAGCCTTTTCTCCAAAAAGAAATACTCCAAAAGGATTATGTATATGAAAGAAATAAATTATAATTTAGCTTTAATTAAAAAAAAGAAAAGAAAAAGGGGGTAAAAAAGGAAAAAAAAAAAGCTGGGGGGGTTTTAAAGTCATATCCTTCTTACTTTTTAAGTCTTCCAGGGAAGCCTGGATTGGGAAGCACACTTCTTCAAAGAAAAATTAACAGGTAAAAATAATTTATTTCTTCTTTCAGTAAGTGGTTCCATCGTCACACTAGGGAAAGGACAAGCAGTAAGACAGAACATAAATAAAATATCAAGAAATGAAGTGAGTCAACCTGGAAAATGTAAGATAATAAGCAGGGGAAAATTAATCTATGACAGACATTGACTTTTTAGGAAAGCATATTAGAAGCAGTAGCTGTTTTAAACACAAAACTACTAACCCGAGTTTTGCTGTCCAGCATGTCTTAATCGGCTTAGCAGTTGCAGGTGATCACTAACCCAAGCTCAGTTCCCTGCACATGGTAAACTGATTTGTAAAAGGACTCAGAGTTTTGACACAGCTCCCAAGCATCAAACACACTCCTACAGTTAACAAACTTCCCCCAAAAAGGATTAAAATAAATCAGAGTTTTCATATATGATTTCCTGTCAAGACATACCACCGTTTGTGTTTCACAGTGAATGAAATATCCAATATCTGCTCAAATTTACAACCAGAAGGGGAACAAATTACTAAAGGAAAGCCTCTATAATTATGCTTCCCGTTTAGGCAAACACAAGCTGTTTGGAACAACTAATACAAAGATGCAGTTGAACAGGAATGAAGATCCACAAGGGATCTGAATACTGGTATTTGACAGGCACGCCTCTGTGTGCTCTTCTGCATATATTTCAGAAAGAACTTTTGCATCACATTAGTGTACCTGCAAAAGCATAAAAAAGGAAAAAAAAAAAAAGAAAATCAGTTTTCGAGACCTCCTTTATTTTTCCTTTGAACACTTGCTGTGGCATCATTAGTCACCTCACTAAGTTTTCATCATTTATACACAATAAGGGCAGATCTATCACTTTAGGATGATTTTTTTTCCAGGTATTCTTGAAAGGAATTCTCTATTTAATAAATACATTCGGCACAACAACTTATACGACCTGTGCATTAGCTACCGCGTGCTCATAGATATTTGTGCACAGGCATGTGCAAGGGAAGCTGCAAGTTGCTTCAAGTGCCAAGAGGAACTGAGTGCCACTGTCTTGCACACAGAAAACAAAAAAAGCCTTTAAATTTACATGGCGCAAGAGGAGAATCTTCTGATTTAATGCACACTGACAGGAGTTTCTTTTGCAAGTGCTAACATCTGGCAATGTTTCAAAGCCACAAACTATTAGTAATTCAGAGCTGGAATCTTGACTTGGAGACAAATTGTATGTTTGGCTACAGTTCAAGCCAACTCCAGCATAAACACAAGATGACTAATAGATTTCTGCTCTACAAATGGGTGATTCGGGAGGGGGAGGGGGGCAAAAAATTATTTAATTGGAGAGTTACTTAAGCAGGAATTTGTTGAACATGAACGCACCTAAAAGATTAATGGACTTAGGATAAAGTATACACACGAACACAGTACAGATGATTTTGACAAGTTAGGAGGTTTCTCAGCTATGATATGAGCAATCTAGGCTATTTAAAAGAGCCTCTTTCCCCACTGGTTAATAAATCCTGTCTCAGAGTATGAATCACATAACTGGTCCAGCTTTAATTTTCCCTCTGCTCATCCCAGGCAAGTGCGAGCAAATGGGATTTGTGTCCGCAGGGAGCCGAGCCGCTCAGCAGCTCCAGCTGCCGCCTGCGATGCTCCTCCCGAGTTAAGCCCTCAAACTTGCCCAGGATTTGCAGGCACGCCACTCCCCGGGCGTCACTGGAAAGGGCACAAACCCAACCGCAGCGGCTGCTGTGCAGAAGCTGCGCTCACTCAGCGAGGGGGCAATGGGGGTCAGGACGGAGAGGAGCTGACGGCAAGGATTTTAGTGGCAAAAACGAGGGGAGAATCAGGGCCAGGAGGAAGAGGAGCTGACAAAGGATTTTAGTGGTAAACGAGGGGAAATTGGGGCCAGCAGGAAGAACAGCTGACAGCAAGTGCTTCTCTCAGCCTGGCCAGGGCTCACGTGGCAGCAGGCAGGATCCCACCTGCAGCAGGTGTGCAGAGCCAGGGCTCCCGCCAGAGCTGTTCACACAGCCACACGACCTGCCCTTGACTTCTGCCTTCGTTTAACTAGAATCCCTTTATCTCACACTCCATTAATAGCCACACAGCACAAGCAGGTTTCTGTGCTTTTAATCAAAAGCACAGACATTTTACAAAAGGCTCATAGGGAGGCTGAATGAGCTGTACGGATTAAAGAAACGAACATGAACTGGCAGTGATTTATGATACTAGAAGTTGCACCAGAGCAAGGCAAGTAAATTACCAGTTTTAGCATGTTTGAGCCTTACTTGTGTCCTGCCCTGGCCACCCTCTAACAGCCCTTGCAACAGGGCTACTAAATACAGTCACTGAGTTAAAGTTCAGCGTTCAACCCGGGCTAAAGGCCAGCCTGAAAGGGGCTGGATCAGGTTGCTCGATTCAAGCTAAACGAGGCGGCTGCTCAGACGTATCCTTGTAACAGCATTAGGAACTTGAGGGCTGCCTTTGCCCTGGATGGCACTCGGCCTAAAAGCAGCCAAGCTGGGGAGCACATTGCTGAGGAGGAAGCCAACTCCCACACTGGCTCTGCTCTTCCCATATTCCCTGCACCTGCCATTATTTTATATATATATACACATATATATATATATACACATATATATATATATACACATATATATATATACACACACATATATATATACACACACAGATATATATATATACACATATATATATATATACACACACACACACACACATAATAACAGAGCAGCTGTAGTAAAGAATAGTTAGGATAGCCAGACATTTTTGTGCTGTTTCTAAAGCTTTTACTATATGGAGACATCTACATGAAAGAAGTAACTGAGTTTTTTCCATGGTAATCAAAATAAAAGGGCATTTCTAGGAATGTGCTGACACACTATCCACATTACAGTGCCTACTGTACTTCCTACGAAAGATGACAACATAGCTTTATGCTGATGAGTATGCACCAAAGCCAAAATGAACCGGGTCTTGAACCAATAACACCAGCAAAATCGCAACAAACTGTGGTCTGAGAGACTCGGTGCTTTAAGGTACTACAGAGTAACTTAAAACACTGTCTCCACTAGCCGGCAAGCAACCGGATAAGGATTTTACACTTTAGGCAACACAGAAAAGCACAGACAATAATACCAGAATAGAGAAATCACAACACAGCTCAGGGGCTGGCTTAACTGCAAGTGCTCCTGTAACCTCCCTCAAGTTCTCACAGCATTTTACAGCTTTTAGTCTATTCAGTCAGAGAGACTTCATGACTACCACTGCATGACTGCCACCTTCATCATTCAGCCCAAGCTTAAATTCACACCCGATGAACAAAACCTGAAGGGCTTAACCCGCACCAAAGATGTCTCACAGCCCCTTCTCAGCCATTTCATCCTGTACACCCTGATTGATCCTATACAAGGAAATGCCTCTCCTTACACATCTTCCCCCTCACCCCCCTTTAAACATAATTCACACACTCTGTTAGAAGCTACTTCCCTGTTTGGTCTCCTGTATATTCAGTTCTTTGGAAATACGTGCTGTTCTTGTGCAATGCTTAGCAAAGTGGGAAAGGGCCTTTTTGCTTAGATGCTCTCTGGAATAGCACCAGTACTGTGACCACCTCGCGAGGGAGAGGTGACCACCTCGGGGAGAGGGAGTTGCACATGACTACAAGTAACAAAGGCTTTAGCTCTTCACAACTTACAGAGCAATACCAGGTAGTAAATTGCCAATTACTAGGAAAAAAAAAAAAAAAAAACTCATCACCAACATCACTACCTCACAAACTCTCAGCAAGCCCTCATACACAAACCCTCATCACTAATTGCCGTAGAGAAAACCCCCAAGGGCACCAGCACGGCCACTGCTCCTCACTTCATTGCTGTGCCTGGGGCTGCTCCACAACAGAGCTAGCCCAAAACCCTGGTGTGTAGCACCCAATTTGAATGCAGTGGACTCCTCAGAAAAGGCTTTCCAAAACTGCCTCAACAGAAATCGCTTCTAAAGGGTTCCCGAGCTGTTCAAAAAGATTATACAAATGACATTTAACTAACTATTTCTTTGGTCATTTGCATCAAATTTGAATTCACTCAGCAGCACTACGAAAAAAAATCATCAACTACTTACTGCTTTGAAACATGTACCAGTTGGCAATTAAACAACAAATTCATATTTCAATATTATTTTTTCCCTTGAAGCAGGCAGACAACTAACTCTCATAAGTCAGCACAAAGTTTATTTTTGCCCCTGCCTTATTGGGTTGCTTTTAGTCACAGAAAACATTGATTATCCTTCTCTTTCTGCTCGCCTTGGATTAGCATCTTTCTCTTTCCAAACTTAAAAGAGAGGAAGTTGGCTCATGTCACTGCAAGGCCACTCCATTATCCTCAAAAAGGTCACATTATCCTCCAAAAGGCTGTGGCAATGGGGGAAGTTCCTGAGGTCTGAAGAGAGCAAATGTCTCTCCTGTCTTCAAGGAAGGCAAGAAGGACCTGGGGAGCTACAGGCCAGTCTCTGGAGGAAGACTAGGATGTGGAAAAGAATAGAGGGGGAGTTTTTGTAGCTACATATCCTATCTTTACTCTCTTTAGCTGTATTGAGTATTCAAGTGTCACAACCTGTACTGAAGAGGGAGGAAAAAAGAAAACAAAAAAAAACAAAAAAAAACAAAAACAAAACAAACAAAAAAAAAACCCACACCCTAAAAAGGACACCGGGATTAAAATAAAATTTCAAGAGGCAATCCAGCCATCTCTACCCATGCCCGTCTGAATTCTTTCATTTGCTACAAATCTGTTCTCAGCGAGTCTCTAATCATTACATAGTTTAGTATTCAATAAAACTGTAATATATATATATAGCAAATAAGAAAAACATCAGAAAGTACCTCATATATTTAAAAGATCTGACAGAGAACATAATGAAAAGCAAGAGAAAAAAATAACCAATTCACCAAAATCACGTAATGTTTTTGACACCACACAATTTTTTTCCTAGTTATCAAAAAAGGCAGTCTGAACAAGATTCTCATACTTAAGTGTTTTCTCCTCTTTCTTGATTCTGCAGCCACGTATGGTTTTGACCACGCAGCCATTTCTACAGCAAGACTGATGGCAAACTCAGGATTATTACTTCCCTTAAGGTTAAAATAAAATAGCTAGAAGAGGGAGAACGCTTTATTGCACATGCAAAAGTACTGTGAAACCCAAGTAAGCATGCAGCTTATCTGCACTGTAAGTGATCCCGTACGCATTGTATTAGCAGTTCATAGTATTCCTTAGGTTTAAAGGTCAAGTGATTAACTTTACTGCACTTGAGTATCTCACAGCATCAAATATCTTTAACACTTTCATATTGTATATTAAGTGTACTAACTTTTTCATCATCCTGGAATTCAGAATAGAAAACAATTGCTGCAGAGAAGCCAGCTTCTCAATCTCCCCTCTATTCATTGAATTAAGGAGTATTTTACAAAATATTCTGGGTAAAGATCCCACCTGACTTTCAAAAAACACAATGGGCTATGGCTTCAACTACCTTTAAGGGAGAAACTGAAGCACTTTTACAGCTTACAAATAGGTAAAAGTTAAGCATATAAATGCTACCCCTATTTTAAGAATCAGCATTGTGAAAGCTGTGCCACCTGAGCAAGAAATTGTTCTTTTCAGCCCTGTATGGATGTTTTCTTCCCTTCCTGCCACCAGCTTTAAAAAGAATAAAACAAACTTGAGGTTGGCTGCCGGTGCCAGCTGTGACAGACACCTACCTAAGCAGAGATGGATGAATCTTACTGAGGAAAAACAATTTCATAATAGCTATCTTAGAGGCTTGTATTAGTGCAACTCTGACACAAGATACATTGGCTATTCTGAGAAAATGAGGTATGTCAACACATGTGCTTACACGGTGCCAAATAGAAGTGGAGGATGATCTGTTTTATTGGTAGATTAAAGCAGTTTCCAGTAGTAGACCTAAAGTTTAACATATGCTAGAAAGCAACCTTAATTTTAAGAGTTCTGTTACCTTTCCATAAAGTTTATGGACACAGTAGCAGATAGCAAATCTATCTCCATTACAGAATACTTTGATTTTTAGATTCATGTACTAAAAATACTAAATCCTCAACCAAATAGACCGAATAAAGGCAAAGCCTACAGTTTTTGCCGTTTCATCTAAAATCTCTGCTCATTCACACAGAATATCTTTTCATGTTTCTGCACTCTCAGCAACATCCCAGTAACATGTGCACATGTACACTAAAGACCACTCTGCAACTTCATCAATCTCCCTTCCTGCTATTTAGTTAGTTCTTTTGAAGGAGTTTAACAGGAACCACCTCTTCCATGGGTTCAGTCAGTTCTCAGATCTTTGTACACATACACAGTGGGGATATGCATAACAGTTAGCAGACACTTAACAGGTAGTTAAGGAAATAAAGGCAGTAGTCAGGCAGAGAAGAGGAAAACCACCCTTGCCTCCACCCCCCAAATTTTGGTTCTTGTTGACAGAGCCCTCCATATGTTTGTGTAATGGGAAAAAAAAATAAAAAGTATCAGCATCCCTGTATATAGCACCTGTAGAAAAGAACTTCAAGCTCATGTTCAAACTCTTTTCTGAAGTATCACGAATGTTTTCCTGTGTAGCCCTATTACACAAATGATTTCCATGTAGACCAGATTACCATCTTTAACACTGCCTTTTATGCAACATAGTGATAGCCAAGTAGGTGCTTCAACTGTAAAATCATTATTACTGCTCATCATTTGATGCTTAACAGGAGGGCCCTATAGTTCTCAGCAGGCTTGTATTCCTTGAGCGCTTATCTATCTTGTTTAACCCCTGAGTTTGAGTCAAATTCCTTGCTCTCAATAATGTGCGGAAAGAATGCAGCTTACAGTAGCAAATTTATAACTGCTTTATTTACCAGGTGATTCTTCTGCTGAGAGCTTTAGGAGCACCCAGGTGATGTTTCTGCTGTACCTGTCTCCAGTATATCTTCTCCACCTCTCCTCAGTAGTTACATACTTAATCTCTGAAGGAGGCCTATCAGTGCATGTCTAACTCCACAGCTACAATTCACAAAAGAGGTTTTTTTTTTAAAAAAAAAAAAAAAAACATACACACACACGAAACATACCTGACTTAAGAGCTGACCATGAAAAATGGTGTTAACCACATTCAAAACCTGTTTTATAAGTTTCCTTTGAGATGCAGGGATGAGAGCTGGGTATCTGGTCCCTGTGGTCTCCAGTTCCTGCTGCACTTTATCCAAAAGTTCACAGAGGAATTCCTGAGCGTCCTGCTGGGCATATCCCCTGAAGGCTGGGATTAGTCTCCATACAGAGTGGAGCATGGCAAAAGGAGATACCAGCGCCCACTTGCCAGACCACATAACTTGGAACAGGGTATGTAGCTCGTGACAAAGCGAAATATGTTTTGAACTCGGCTCCCTGGGCTGAATAAGTTCCATATTTCTGCTTTTTGATGCTCCTCCACTTAATCCAGAAGATAAACTGGGTCGCCTCATGGACGAGGATGATCTCTCTATCTTCTCATGGTTGTCATTCACATGTAATGCTGAGGCACTAGGTGAAGGCTGTTTAGATGAAGATCTTGTTTTACCATTGGCTGCTGTTGCTAACAGTTCCTGAGTTTGGCTGAGATCGAGCTTTAAAAAGCATTCACGAAAAATATGTAAGTGACTTAATACCTGCAGGATAGAATTCATATAGCATGTATTTCCCAGATTTCTTAGTCCTGTTACACCAGGAGTCACTGTGGGCCGTCTTTTAATTGGAGAGTCACTTATTTTTTTCAATCTTACTGCATTTGAGGTATACATTTCTGTCAATTCTGCCACCGATTCCTCATCCTGGGATGTTTCCGGCCTGCAAGGCACTGTTTTTGAGAACATTTTGCCTTGATTTTGTAAACGACAGCTCTTTCTTGGAGGCATCTTTTCCAGCTCAGCTTTTAAGTGACGTTTCCGCTCTTGCCTTCTCTTCCTAGCATTTTCCCTTTTTCTCTCTGCTTCTTCCCAACGCTTTTCTTCTTCCAAAATCTTTTTTCCACTAGGTGTCAACCCGAGCCACGACCTGAATACTTTGCCCATGAGTGCCCGCCTCCTGTGCCAGAGCGCTGTGAACATGCGGTCCTCTTGCCGGAGCAAGGCTTGGGCACCGCCATGTGAAGGGTAGGAGTCATCACTTGTACCCATGGACCGCAAAGTCCTCCCGCTGCGAGTCGTGCACTCATAGTTTTGACTCTTGATTGCACTTAAAGTGCTGCGCAACAGCTTGAGGTCACCAGTTGCGTTATCATTAAGAACATATTCATCACAGAGATAGCAGAAAACATAGAGCTCGTTGACTTCCAACGCCACCGGGTGCCCCTTCTCCTGAAAGTGCTTCAGTGCATGCTCTTCGATGTACCTGCCGCATGCCACATGCGAGCAGCTGAGGCAGGCCCACACGGAGTCCGTGCTATTGCAGTCCACACAGTGCCACTTCTGAGGATTCAGGATGGAATGATCTTGGGCCAGGCGCAGGCGCCCTATGTGCTTACACTTATCCATGTTAAAATGGAAACGCTAGAGGAACGCCAAGGAACCGCATCACCCAAGCTATCTTCTGTCCATGATATTTCAATCTGCAAATACAAACAAACAATAAAAAGGCTTTAAGCTACAGTTCATAAATACCCGTCTGTATCACCTTTGTAAGTGCGAGTATAACAAAGTCACATCTTGGGCCATAATCTTCATCACCATCCAAATAAGTCCCACCAAACACATAGTGGCACTCAGTTATTTCGAGCCACAGTAAACATGATTATCAGTGACTTGACTGTGACACAAGTTATTTCGAGCCACAGTAAACATGATCAGTGACTTGACTGCGACACTCTGGGACTAAGAGACCTACATACACCTGTTCATATTGCCAGTACCTGCTGGCTCAGGACTGAAACACTGCCGTGTCTTTAGGCTAGGCTTTTTTTTTTTTTTTCCCCTCCTCAAAAGGGCACTATTTTAGTTAAAAATACATTGTTCTAGACTCTGGAAAGAAATACACTTTAAAAGGTTCTATTAATTCTACTCTGAAGCACAGAAATGCAAACAAAACTGTTTCACTTAGATTTGTTTGCACACTCCCACCATTTCAGATAAATGAGGCTTTATAGGGCTTAAACCCTTAATTAAACCACACCTCTAAATAAATCACTGCACCTCTGCATTGAGGCAAGCTCATTATGTTGTTGTAGAAAGCTTTGTTATATCTTCTGTAAGTACATTTTAACTTGCCTAACACCTCTGAAAAGAAGAGGTGGCCTGGAAAAGCAGAATTCAAGTTCTTCGTAAGACAGAAACATCATTAAGGATACACCTAAACTGATACAACCTTTTATAAAAAGTAATATTTGGAAAAAAAAGTCTAAATCATGGCTTTAAAAAAAGTTATTCAACAAATTGGCTAATGATAGGTTACATCCTAAGTAAGTCTAAGTCTGTGTGTTAGCATTTATTTTTCCAAAGCTGCTGTACTTGTTTTCTGCTGGAAAGTGCATTTATCCAGAATAGGTAGGCTGACTGACAAAAATTAAGACTACAGTGATTTATTATTTCATATGTTTTTGCCATTTTTGGACAACATCTAGAGAACAGGATAAGTCAAGAAGTGATTATATTTGATTTGGAGAGTTTATGCCCATGATGCCACTTTCTAGAAGGGCTAAATAGCACCAACTTGGGCACATCTACCGCCAGAGGAAGCAGTTACCTGAGGAGCACCAAGTGCTTGTCGAACAGAAAGCTTCTGCCAAGCAGGACAAAGGCTGCCATTATACATGAACACATACTGTGGACCTGGCCTGGGCTTTACAACATCCACGCATGGGACAGGGTTATATAAATATACAAATGAGTAAACCATTCCATGGAAATATTAGGCAATTGAGACAGCTCTAGATAGAAACCAAAAGGCTAATTTCCAGCTATTATGTTACTATTCCTCCATTTTTATAGCTCTGAAATACAAAATATGCAAAAATAATCTAACTTGATTAACCTGTGTAAGAATAAGCACTAGGCTGTGACACTGTGCCTGTTTCACTAAAGCAGGAAAATAGGTAAGGGGTTGAAGATGCCTAGGAAAGCACTTTTGCTTCTGGTAGAGCCCTCAGGTAAAACCTGTGGTTAAAGGATTTAACCAGGTGACTTGGACTGTCACATTCACGTAGCTGACGCACAGTTGTCAGCACAAGAAGGGTAGCAGTTCTCAAAGCATGTATAGTGGCAGCAGGTAACTAGGATTACTAGCATCAGGTTTGCACTTTGTAGTTCTTAGTCTGCCATACAGAATAGGCAGCTGCAGTGAAATTAATAAGGTGTATACTGCTTTATATGCCCATGTAATCATTCTCATTCTATTTAAGAGCTGTCTCCAGCCCACACTAACTGCAATGAAGAACGTAGGTGCCACGACCTCTGGGTACCCATTCAGTAATTCCCAGATCAAATATCAGACATTGTGCTAGGGGAAGTCAAGATCAGTTGTGTGCTACAGTAGAAAATAAAAAGAAACAGAACAGAAATAAAGTCTTGCTGAGTTTTTCCTCCAACTCTCCCCAGCTTTCCAGCACCTTAACCATCTATTCCTTCTAAAAGGCACTGTTATTGATGATCTGCTAATGAGAGTCTTTCAGAAATAATTATGCATACTATTTTGTAAGAACTAAATACTGTAAACAGGATCTTAAGTCTCAAGACTCATCTTTCTGCTTTGGGTTAACCAAAACAGACACTCATTTCTCCTAGGCATGGCACATTAACAGCCACTAAAGAGCAGTAACTTGATAAGGGAGTTAAGAGTGGTTAAGTGTAAGCCATAGCTCTTTTAAAGTGCTTCCTCCTTTTCTGCTGAACATCATGCTGTTTAGTGGCCTGACAGTTGCATCTAAAGCCTGCAGTAATACAAAGACCTCCACTACTGATGCACTTCCAGGACATCTGCATAGCCAAACATACTGGGAAGGGAAACTGCAAGTTGAAATCTCTGGAGTTTAGTGGGTAAATATTGTCAGGGCTGGGATCTGAGCTTCCTGATGCAATGGCCTGCCCAAGGCCTAAGGGCACCGATCTTCTGAGAAGGCAAAGGGATATAAAAATAAACAGCTTGCTTTATAGTTGAGAAACAAATTAAATGTCTACTTTCAGTATCATACACATACATGGTTGTCCTGTCCAACTTCTAACTCACAGTCCCGAGGACAAAAGCAGTCCACTGATTTCAGGATGACCACTGTGCAAAGAGGAGTTGCTGGACCAAGCTTTTCATGCTAAAGTAACATGACTTTATGAAAGTGCAATATCAGCACCTTGAAAAGAAAAAACACAAATCCCTGTTGCTCTCCTCCCCACCAACAATCAAGTCAGCGTGACATCTTCCCACCTACATGGATGGAGCACGGAAAATGGAGTGTGGGGGGTAAAGCAAACAAACTGACATGGTAGAAGTCAGTTTCTTTGAAGAAATCAAAATGTGCACTTTAGTCAGAGAGAAACAAAGAGCTAAAGAGATTATGAAAATGTCAACAGGAGGAAAACTGAGACAACGAAAACTTCAGCCGAGTGCCACGCAGCACACTTATAGCACAAACATTTTAAAGTGCAGAGCACTGAAGCACTGAGACTGAATTAAGTCGCAACATTTAAATCATTTGCCTTAGAACCAAGAATTGGCAGAATACTAGGTAGAATTCTGGTTAAAACAAACAAACGACAAAAAAAAAGAATCTTAACTTCAAGTGATAGATAAAAGTAGAAGAACAGTACACTCACTCCTATGCCTGCTAGAAAGCTGCACCTGGAGCAAAATTGTACAGGCTACTGCTACAATGTTAAAAAACCCTACAGAAAGCTATTCAAGACTAATTTGTGCAGTCTTCTGGCATGAAGCACCCTCCTCTGTGCATGCACACACACAAAGGAACTGAAAATTAGTTGACCAGCACTTCAGAGATCAATTCCCCCCCGCTTCCTGCCCCGGGGAGGGAGCACAGATCTGAGTAGAAGTACCAAGCAAAATAACAAGAAAGTACTAACATAAAAACAGTACTACTGGAAGTAGTAAGTTGCATGGGAAAAACACAGATATCTAAATGTCTTCTCTTGTGCCAAAGTTTCACCAATAAGAAAAAAAAAAGTGTATATACGTATTCAAAACTTGACTTTTTTTTTTACCCTTGCATCAAAGCATATTTCAAGATTACTGACATGCTTACGGTCTTTAAACCGTTTAGCACAGGAATGGCTGCCAGGCTGCATGCTTTCAGGGTAACTTTTTATCTGAACACGTAATCAATGTTAAAAACAAAAAGCCTAAGAAGCCAAGAAAATGATTTTTTTTTCCATCTGAGTTCCATGCAAAGCAGAAATTTTAAGTTTCATCTTGGCACCTGTGAGGTTTAAAAATCAAATACAAACAAAAGGAAAGCTATTTTTTCCCATTAGTGACAACTTCTGCAATTAACTGCTCAATCAACCAGCCTCTCAAGCATTAATGGGAAATTTAGAACCCCATTTCACTAAAGGGCATATGCTTTTAGCATTCTCGTTTCTAAATCAGAAACCAGTTTATCAATGGATTTTCATCAAGTTCAGCACCTGTTTAATATCCGGAAAAAAAAAAAAAAAAAAAAAAAAAAAAAAAAAAAAGGATAATCATGGGTATTTCAAGCACCTGCACGGTTTAGGTAACCATTACGCCCACCTGAGGTGCCGTTCCTCAGACGCTGGGCTCTTCTAAAAGCGAAGCCCAGGCGCAAACACAGTCGCTGCGCAGAGCTCCGTGCCTCTCCACAGCGAGCCTCAGGGGAACAAAGCGGCACTTTCAAAAGGAGCCCTGCAAACATACTCGCATTTTCATCAGAACCGCCTGCGGCAAGGAACTACCAGCCTTTTTTTTTTCTTTTTTTTTAATCTATATACGTCTTTATTTAATTTAAAGCACATTAAACACTACCGAGCTGTTCAAGAAAGGACGAGGTTCGCTACAGCGCGCTGCCCAGCAGCAGCGCAGCCGGAGCGCTCCCACCTCAGACCATCAGGCAGACACTCCACCACACCAGACCTAAAGTCTAAAACCTTCGCCTTACAAAAACGGCACGTTGCTAGAGGGGGATGTAAATATTTCGATTTTTTTTTTCCTTTTGACGCTCCCGCGGCAGGAGCGCCTTGCGGGAGCTGGAAACACACTTGACACTTGCGCTAGGGCGAAGCTGCGCGCGTCGGGCGGCTCTAACCGCCCTCCCCGCCGCCAGA